TATGGTTGAACTGGATCATCGAAGGTCAGAAGCAAAGACATTGGTTAATAGAATGGGATTAAATACATAAAGGATATTTGTGTTGTTTAACATTTAATTATTGCAGGTTTGCATCATATTCTGAGTTGCATTATTGTTATTCATTTTGAGGAATACTGAATCTGTGTTTTTTTTTGTGAGTGAGATGAATTAATGCATATTCATATTTATTTCAGAACTACAGTAACATCTTCTGATTTCTCTCAACATGGGGACAGGAGAGCTGTCAATCAATAAATTGAAAAAAAAAAAAAGTAACTTGCGTTACTTATTTGAAAAAGTAACTCAGATATTCTCTTGTAAATTAAAAAGTAATGTGTTACTTTACTAGTTACTTGGGAAAAAGGTAATCTGATTACATAACTCGCGTTACTTGTAATGCGTTACCCCAACACTGGATATAGTATCATTAAAAAATTTCCCCTTTATAATTGCATAACTCAAAACACAAAGAAAAAAACCCATTTGTCGCAATTACACCATAATTTTTCCATGAACTAAACTCTTCAAGGACAAATTAAACGCCCTTTCATTTTTATCACATTGTCTACCATCATTTTTTAAAATAGTAAACAACTTATAATCAAAAAATAATACATTCACATTTATTGAAATATCAGCATTAACTATCTTCTTAAAAAAAGCACATTGTATAGTTTAATTTGACCTTGATTTTAAGGCTTGTAATGCAAATGCCGAAACTGTAAAACTCTCCAAAAATTTACCTGTTACTATCTGAAGGCATGATCAAATCTCAGTATATTTCAAATGTGCTATTAACTCTTAAGCATTTTGTTGTCTGATATGTTACAGAAATTTACCTTTTCACCCGTTTTACAGAATACTGAAGAAAAAAATTCTGTCATCTACAACAAAGGCAAGCAAGTTAAAACGACATAATCCAGCTGGACAGACTGTGAGGGTGGAGTAATTTTTGGTTTCGCATTAACAGTTAATTACTGTCCTAATACCAGTATATTATCTTTAATCGTGTAATGAAGTTAAGCAGGTGCTTCGATGAAAATCCTTTAGTAGCGGGGCGGGAGGCGTGACCTGACGGCTGGATGAGTGATGTGTTCCCGCAGGCGTTGCTGAGCTGCTGTGCCCGTCGCTGCTGCTCCTATAAAAACCCATGATTTCCACTACATTTCTACAGAAAGGCTTCCGTGCCGCCCATTGCATTAGACTGCTGCACTCCACACGCATCGCCAGCATGCCGATCCAGGTAAGAACTGTAGAAGGACATCCAGAGACAGGACTGGCGTTAGCGTTGCGCATGACCTTGGCACTATTTTCGCCGGGCGTCGCCTAAAATAAACGCATTAGATGCTTCTGGATACTGTGGCGGCCATGAGTGTTTTTATTACGCGCATTACATAAGACAAGCACGGGTTGTTTTTCAGTGGTGTCCGTGATGTTGCGTGAGCAGACTGAGATTTTTGTTGTGATTTTCTTTTCCTGATACATATTCAAATGCGACCAGTTAAAGTCAGACTTTAGTGAAGGGAGTAAATCATTTCCTTGTAGGCCTGGCGCACAACGCGAGTGAAGCGGCAGAACTACCATTTCTGGAAACTCTCCTCTTCACTTTTGATGAGAACGGAAGCGTTCGCGTTTGTCGCGTCGTGTCGCGTGCTCTCTGTGGAGATGAGTTCGTATGACAGCATCGTTCCTTCTATTAAAATATGATCGATTATTTATTCAATATTGAACTAATATGCGCAGCGAGAAGAAATGCAGTTATTTTGTGGCACTTATGCAACGTAAGTGCACTTATGCAACAGCAACAACATGATCAGCGAAACAATATAACAAAGATTTTCATACATTAGCAGACAAATACATTAGCAGACACAAGTGTCAGTAAATAATACGACAAAACA